ATTTTCTAAGTAATTATTTTACTAAAGGTGCTATTGACGTGAAATTTGCACCAGATGTTGGTAAAAACTCATCCAGTTCACACATGCAAAGAAACCAAACCATAGATGTCCATCAATTAAATTATGTGTGATAATGAGAAATGACACACGAAAAAAGTATTAAACACATGAAGAAAAGGACGTGCAAAAAGGCATAGAAAGTCTTGACACCAGCTGAAATTATCAGTAACTTGAAAACAATCCTGCCACTTAGTTCAAATTAGTCCCAACTGATGGCTTATAAAAATGCCTCACTGGTTTATCATTATGGATAAACCAGTGAGCTCTCTCAAGACCTTTGCAGCCTTATTGTTGTGAAACATACTGATGACACTGGATACAGAAGAATTTCACTGAAGGCTCCAGTGAGCACTGCTGGTGCCAACATCGGGAAGTGGAAAGAACATCATTTTACCATAATCAGCCAGGTGTTCCCCACAAGATTTCAGACAGAGGCATGAAAACAATTATCAGAAGAGTTGTTCAAGAGCCATGGAGCAATTGTAGAGAGCTACAGAAAGACCTGGAATCAGCAGGTACAATTGTTTCAGAGAAAACAATAAGTAATGCACTCAACTGCCATGGCCTGTATGCACTCTCACCATGTAAGACTCCGCAGCTGAAGAGAAAGCATGTTGAAGTGCAGAAGAACATTTAGACAAGGCTGTTTAATACTGGGAGAAATTTGAACTCTTTGGATGCCATAATACACACCATATCTGGAGGTATGGTGTGTACCTCCAGATATGGTGTAAAGCACTGTAGATATACTAACAGTGAAGTTTGAAGGTGGGAACAACATTGTGTAGCACTGGCACGCTTCACATAATTGAATCAAGGATAAATGGAAAATGTACCAAGACATTCTTGATTTAAAAAAACATCTTCCAGGATGATGAAGATGATGAAGGGCAGATGTTTCAGCAAGACAAAGATCCCAAACACTCAGCCAAGGAAACTTTCAATTTGCTTCAGAGAAAGGGAGAAAAAAGCTGCTAGAAATGCCCAAATCCAATTGAAGGTCTATGGAAAGAACTAAAGCTCAGAGTGTATAGAAGGGGCCCACAGACTGTTTGTGTGGAAGAATGGGCCAAAATCACACCTGAGCAATACAGATGACTAGTTGCTCCACACTTGAAGATGTTATCATCATCAAAGGCTTTTGAACAGATTAAATAAATTTTAGGAAACGTGTTGAATACTTTTTCCATGTCCATAGCACCTTTAGAAATATATTTACTTAGAAAATTGGCAATGTTTTCAGTGCTTAGTTTACCCACTGTATATATTTATTTCTGTTATAATACTTATCCTGCAGAAACCATTTAATACAGCCCATGCAGCTCGGTATGGATGGGACAATGACAGAGATGACTACAGAGGATCTCCATAAAGTGACCAACAAGCCACTGCTCCAGTCAGAAGACCCTCCTAATTTAGACAGTGAGGATGAAAACTGAAGAAGGAAACGAATTCCATCCATGACAATCCTAAAAAAATCTGTGTCACTATTTAAGCGATTCATATATCATAAGTATAATTTTGTTGCATTTTACCCATTTTAATTGGAGAGGAAAGAAAATGTTAATTTGTTTAGTCAAGTAAAAAAGTATTGTTTAGTCAAAAACACAGCTTGGCATAACTGGTACACAGGAAGCCACTTAACTGATCATAAACTCAACTACAGAATTCAGATAATTTTACAAGGATGATTATTTTAATAGGAATAGTTTTTTCATCCAAGTTATTTATGTTCAATAAAATATAAAAATTTAATTACTAGGTTGTGTTATGAAGCACTTAACTGACAACAAGTGGAAGAGAAAATTCCTTAAACACTTTATATAAGGGAAAGATGTCAGGGGACAATGTAGCTAGCCAGCATCAGATGGTAGTTTGTAGTATGGCTGTGGGCATGATCAACAGGAAGTGAGTGAAGTCAGGGGAGAGGTTTAGGCGGTGGAAGCTGAAGAAGGAAGAATGATGTACAGTGTTCAAGGCTGAGTTGATACAGGTGGTAGGAAGTGTTGGTAGTTGACTGGGAAAGCACAGCTGTAGTGGTGAGGGAAACTGGCAGACGGGTATTTGGAGAGATTGAGTTAGAAAAGATAGGAAGCAGGTTTGGGTGAGTAAAGATAGTGATGGAAATGTAATGAAGAGAATGTGTTCAGGAAGGAGAAGCTCATCAATGAAGAAAATGAGAAAGGACAGAAGTGAGTTGGTGAATCAGGAAGTGTAAAGGATTAGAAAGGAGGAAGGAAAGGGCAGCTATGAAGAGGATGAAGCATAGAAAGGCAGATGGTCCAGATAA